GTGGCTGCTCCTGGCCACTGCAGCCTTGACCTGCTGGGCTCCGGCGATCCTTCCGCTTCAGCCTTCCAAGTAGCTGGAACTACAGGCGCGTGCTACCATGCCCAACTAATTTTATTTTTTGATTTATTGTAGAGATGAGGTCTCACCAAGTTGCCCGAGCGGGTCTCGAGCCCGTGGGCTTAGGCAATTAACTCACCTCCCAAAGCGCTGGGATTACAGGCTGAGCCACTGAGCCCGGCTATATTTTGAAATAGAGTTTGAAAACAGGACAGAAAGGTGGTACAGCATGTTTTCCAGGAAGCAGGACAAAGTAATTAAGGTTCTTACCACTCTTCTGAATTCTTAATTTCCTGATCATTTGTGAAACAGAGGATACAGATTATCAATTTCTGACAAGCTATGGTCATGAAAATGTCATATATTCTATAACAGAGAGATGTTTCAGCTATATTAAGAGCCAAGAAATAACTAAATATCTGATGCAGGAAAAGTTAATAATGCTTTTACATTAAACTTACCTCATATAGGACAAAAGAAATATTTGCAAGAATATTTCAGTCTCACATATGTAGGGGAAGTTTGGCAGTTTACCTTCCAGATGTAGGCAGCTTCATCACTTGAGCCACTGACTAAAAACTGGTCATCTGGACTAAGACTGGATTTTACATAAAAGGTAGAGTTCTGGTGTCCATTGAAGATGGCCACTGCCAGGGGAAAAGATCAAATTACTTGGTTCTTGTTATTACCAGTGTTCAAATGAAGACAGCATAAATAGTCTAACAAGTTTCATCACTGTATTGCCTATTGAAGTGGATAGTCAAGTTTTGTTTATCAGTTAAAAGGGAACTAGACACTGGCAAAAAAAAAAATAAAGAAAACCCTATAAAGATTAGACTCAATCTTATGAACTCAGCCTGAAAATGTGAAAATGGCCATACAAGAGAAAAATATGTGATGAAAAGCATTTAAAAAAAAAACAACAACAAACGCAGTTAATATTCAAACTCCTAGCAAAATGCCTCTATAAAATCCTCTTCCCATCCCAGGGAAGGACTTCTTCCATTGCATATTATTTCTCTTATTATTGGTATTATTTCCCTTCAGGCTTCAAGCCTCTTGAAGATAAATTTCATATCTTATTCTTTCCTCACCAGATTTTACAGTGCTTTGAACAGAGTAGACTCTCATACATTTGTTCTATGAATAGGAAAAAAAATCAGTGAAAAGTAACATTTGAATTCTGGCTAAAACTTACTAATAGTTTGTCTGGGATGGAATCTTTTAATTCCACACTTTAAATAGGCTGAATGGTAGAAGTAGCTTAGCGGGGTAAACTATATGTTCATATGTAAGACACTAGGTTAGGTTTAGCCTTCTCACTATCCATGGCAAAGGGCAAGTAACCCAATCCAGCACAATATGCTCTTGGCAGGTTCTTGTATGTTATGAAGGCCAAAACCCGAGGCCTCAGGCATCAGGACACTACTAGGAAATATAAGAGAAAAAATCTCAGGCCACGTATAGTGGTTCACGCCTATAATCTCAGCACTTTGGGAGGCCGAGGTGAGAAGATTGCCTGAGCCCACGGGTTCCAGACCAGCCTGGGTAACTTGGTGAGACCTTATCTCTACAATAAATAAAAAAATTAGTCGGGTGTGGTGGCATGCATCTGTAGTTCCAGCTACTGGGAAGGCTGAGGTGGAAGGATCGCCTGAACCCAGCAGGTCAAGGATGCGGTAGTCGGGAGTATGCCACCGCCCTCCAGCCTGGCTGACAGAGTGAAAATCCAACTCAAAAAAACAAAACAAACCAGGCTCAGTGGCTCAGCCTGTAATCCCAGCGCTTTGGGAGGCTGAGGTGAGTGCCTGAGCCCGCGGGTATGGGACCCACCTGGGCAACTTGGTGAGACCTCATCTCTACAATAAATAAAAAATTAGCCAGGCGTGACAGTACGTGCCTCTAGTTCCAGCTATTTGGAAGGCTGAGGTGGAAGGATGGCTGGAGCCCAGCAAGTCGAGGCTGCAGTGGCTGGGAGCGGCCGCTGCACTCCATTCTGGGTGACAGAGTGACTCCAACTCAAAAAACCAAAACCAAAACCAAACAAACCAACTAAATTACTGGAGAATTTGATACCCTTAGGAAGGGAAAAAAAAAAAAATCACTCCAACTTTTAACAGAAGGAGAGAAATATTAGTAAGCGACTTAACAGTATCCCTAAATGCTCAAAGAAATATTTTCCTTTTTCTAGAATAAAACTGGAAAATAACTTTGTATTTATGGCTTTTAAAGAAAAAATCTACAAAGCAAAAATTCCCTGTATCAGACATTTTTACTGTGAAAGTGGAAGCAGGATATGAATCAATTCCAGAGAACTATTTCAGATACACATATTATAAAACTGCTATGATAAATCCCTGCAAATAAACAAGTTCCTTTATTCTGAACACTGCTCCAAAACTGTAATTTTTTTTTTTTTAATCTTCCTCAGCTTTAAACTATAGCCTGAATTTCTCACTATACCTTTAAGTATTTATTGCCCTCTGCTGGTCTAAGAAAGGTTGGTAAGAAATACAAAATCTTGCTTAAAACCCTTCTAAAATTGGCTATTGGCTTTAAATAACTCAATTTAATCTTTCTTTGATAATCTGGGCTCTCTTAAAGTGCTTCCTCATCACCCTTATGAACATGATTTATTATAATACTGTGTATAAAAAGTATGGTAGATCAAATATTGAGCCTAAGACCCTTTCTAAAGTTTTGTAAAAGACAGGTAATTACCAGATGTTACACACACATATAGCTGCCATTCAATTTTTAAGGAACAAATCTATATATTCACCTATCTACCTATCTATTAGCAAATCAACTAAGAGCACAGAAGAAGTTTACTAGGCGGGCTCAGTGGCTCAGCCAGTAACCCCAGCACTTTGGGAGGCCGAGGTGAGTGGATTGCCTGAGCCCACGGGTTCGAGACCCACCCGGGCAACTTGGCGAGACCTCATTTCTACAATAAATCAAAAATTAGCTGGGGGTGGTAGCACACGCCTGTGATTCCGGTTACTTGGAAGGCTGGGGTGGAAGGATTGCTGGAGCCCAGCAGGTTGAGGCTGTGGTGGCCAGGAGCATGCCACTGCACTCCAGTCTGGGTGACAAAGTGAGACTCCAACTCAAAAAAAAAAAGAAAAGAAAAAGTTTACTAAATTAGCAAAGGAGTTTAATGGTAAAGGGACAAATTAAACTCAAGATCTCTTTCTGTACCACACTATAGCAAAAAATACAGAAATAGCTCTTGAATATCTGATACTTTATCTTTTGGGGAAAGATTTTGAAAAGTCTACTTTATACAACTAACTAAATTAGCAGTTCTCCAAGTTCTGATTACATTAAGGAAAATGGCAAAAGGAGTTTTAAAACCTCTTCCCTTTTCCAAATAATCTTGCTGTTGTTTAGAGAACACTAGATCTAATCCAAAGCATCCGAAATGAGAGCTTTGATGCTGCCACAGATATCAAAGTCCTAATAAGAAAGCTTCAGGCAATTTTTGAAAAGGTATGTAAAATCCCAGGTAAAATGACCTAAGTTCTGTACTATTTTGAGGTTTCTTGTTTATCAGCACATCTTACTTTAGTGAAAACTGGGTAGCTCTGGGAATTGGTTTTTGACAGACTCATAGCTGAGGAAGAAGTAGGCTACTAATATGTAGCTTGCTTAAGTAATCGATAATGTTCTCAAAAACAATGTAACCCAAATAACTCTCTTAAAGTATGTTTGAGAAACTTGGATTTCTTTTTAAAAATATTGTTTATTAGAAAGTATCAATTCTACTTTTATGTTCTTGAGGGAAAAAAAGGTGAAATTGGAGAAAACACCTAAGGAGCTAGAACTAGCTTCTGTCCTACATTAAGCCCAAGGCTGAGAGGTAGGATGGAATTATTTTGGGGTCTGAAAAATTCAGCCTCCTAATTTTAACTAACAGCCTCCAAAGAGGACAAAAACTGAGTGGAACGTCTTTCTCTCCCCTATAGCTTATTAAACCAAAACCAGATAATTCTAAAAATAGGCCAATATAACTTCAGGAGAGACTTACTACTAAAATAAAATTAAGTCACACTATAGAGCAGGATTTTGCCTACTTGTGAAATCAACACAAAGAATGTATACTTATAAAAATGTCACTGGAACTAAACAAGATGCCAAAGTCCTCATATGGCTTAGTAAAATTGGTTGAGGAAAAAAACCAAACATTAAGTTATCACTAACAAAAAAAGCCCATATTAGTTACCTAAAAGCCCATATTAGTTACCTAGTAAGAGAATTGGATCGACTAATTTCTTACCTGGAGAAGTCTTTAATCCAGTCATATTGAACATATAGATGTTATCATCTGTGCAGTTAGCAAACAAAGTAGAACCAGTGGAATCCAAAATCAGACTTGAGTATCCTGAAAAAAGGAAACTTAGTTAGCATGTCTTGATGATGGTGAGTAAATCTAAGGCTGAAATGTGGAGGCAAAAAAGAAATCATTTCACAAGAATAATCACCAGAATTCTTTGTTCTCAAAATATATACAAAGCAAAAAATTCTTCTAAGTTTTTATCTTTTGAACTTCAAAAAGATAGAACTACATATTAGAGCTTCTTAAGTCAATGTTGCTGAAAACTAGCCTGATTATTTTTGGTTTTGAATTTTAACAAAAACATGTCTACCCAAAAGACCTATGGTCTGCACAAAGGCTTACCTAGTTTCCGAGTGCTGCTACCTGGGTACAGGAAAGCCTTGGATGCTATGGGTTCTTGTCGATAAGCAGTATAATTCTTACGCAAATCCCATACTTTGATTATCCTAAAAACCAAGGCAAATACATAGTTATTCTATAGATCGTCTCCCAACCTCAAACTTCAATTACATTGAATATAAAATAACTTTTAATCTAATTTCTCTGGCACGCTAACTAGGTACAGTGAGGATACATCATTGGAAGACAAATTTAACTATCTTCTACTATTGTCGCCAATGTCAGGCTTATAATTCTGACAGAACAAAAACAAATGTGATTTGACCCAGTGTTGAATTACTGAAATTTACTCCAAGGGAGCGGAAAAGGAAGATGAAGGTTAGGTGCTGATAGTCATTGTTCCATTGTTTAAAAGCACTTCCTAAGCCTTTAATATTCTGCATATATCCTTTGACATCATGCAAACTGTTTCTATGGTTGTATCTCTATATATTACTTCTAAAGTAATCAATCTAAATACATTTTCCTGTGAAATAGAGAAAAGTATCTTTATATTTGATCTATCAGGAAAACTGTCTTAATCCTGTATTTCTAGCATATAGGTACCTTGAAAACACAAAATACAAAATGACAGCATCCTTGGAAACAAAGAGAGCAAGCTTTCATAGCCATTTACAAGCATAACTAATAACTTTAGATAATCCTTCATTCCTGTCTGAGAATTTGGTTCACAGAAGGGGTTTTTTTTGTTTGCTTGTTTTTTGAGTTGGAGTCTCACTTCGCCACCCAGACTGGAGTGCAGTGGCCGCTCCCGGCTACCAGAGACTTGACCTGCTGGGTTCCAGCGATACTTCCGCCTCAGCCTTCCAAGTAGCTGGAACTACAGGCGTGTGCTACCACACCCGGCTAATTTTCAATTTATTGTAGAGATGAGGTCTTGCTGCCCAGGCGGGTCTTGAACCCGTGGGCTCAGGCAATCCACTCACCTCAGTCTCCCAAAGCACGGGATTATAGGCTGAGCCACCGAGCCTGGCTTCACAGAAGGGTTTTAAGTGTTCAGAGGACACAGTGAAAATTCCAGTTTGGAAGTCATCATCTTTTGAACTAAAAATTTTAAAAGGGGGATGCTTTGGGAGATATCATTGAGGGGGCTTAAAAAGTGTACCTAAGGTCAGGCTTGGTGGCTCAGCCAATAATTCCAGCACGTTGGGAGGTTGAAGTGAGTGGACTGCCTGAGCCCATGGGTTGGAGACCAGCCCGCACAGCTTGGCAAGACCTCGTTTCTACAATAAATAAAAAGTTAGCCGGGCGTGGTAGTATACATCTGTAGTTCTGGCTACATGGAAGGCTGAGACAGAAGGATTGCTGGAGGCCAGTAAGTCGACCCCGGCATGGCCATGAGCATGCCACTGCACTCCAGCCTAGGCGAAGGAGTGAGACTCCAACTCAAAAAAAAAAAAAAAGAATCCCTATTGCAAATAATTTATATTCTACAATGCAACCAATCAACAAGCATCATGGACTTATTTGGAAGCCAAGAATTCAGACTTGTTATGGATGTCTAGGAATGTTAAAGTTACTAGGCCTTACTATCATCAGTTTAGTTAGATTAGTCCCAGAAATGTCAATTCCATGCTTAGAATCAGAACCAGACTTCTTTTTTTAGAATATTTTTAAACCTGAAAAGACAAAACCCAAAGTAATAGCAACTTTACTCCTCAAAATAAGAATTAGTGATGAAATTATACTGCATAAGGTAAGCAGCTTCTTCTCTAAGATAGCAAAAGCAGTTAACCTGTTCCTATGTGCTAGACAGTCTGCTGTGTCATGTCAATATGTATAATCTCATTTAATTGCTTCAACAAGTCCTAACTGCATACTTTCCAGTGTGAGCCATAGTTCTTTTTCTCATAGTTCCTTTTCAGTATAGCTAGGTTCCTTGCTATGTTGAAAGTTAAAAGCACACACATTCAATTATAAATAGGTGACTTCCCTATCACAGTTCATAAAAATGACCTAATCAAAAGACCCAAGAAATAGACTCTTACCCATCCACAGCTCCTGCTGAGACTAATGTATTCTCATCCTGAAAGAGGACCACAGTAACACTCTGCTGGAAGTCCTGGTAGCACAAGAAAAAGAAAAGAAGAAAATTCTATCTTAGGCATGAAAAACTTTACCATCACAAGAACAAGGTGCTAAAAAATAGCTTCCCCCCCACAAAATCTGAATCAGACTAAATATTCTTTTTCCAATAATTCTAATCGGATATATATACTGACCAAGAGTAATTTTAGTGAGGAAATGACTTAAACATCATTGTTATAGTATATAGAGTTAACACTTTAACTTGTACTCAAGGAACAAATTGGCGACAGAAATACTTTATTTATCTTGAGTCTATTGGGCTCTACTAATCAGCCCTACTAACAAGCTATGTATCCTTAGGAAACTTATTTAACTTCTTTGTGACTATTTAATCTATAAAATGTTGCTGTCTACTCAGATGATCATATGGGAGTATCTAAAGAAGTATGGATAAAAGATTATTGCATGTTCTGAAAAGTTTAAGTGGTTCAGCGGTATTCTTGATTCCTAATTGCTATTACTTAATAAGTTATCTTCGTTCAGAAGCGAATTAAGTTTCTGAAATCCTATTCATTTTAACTTCATCTGGCCTCCACAGACCACTGTCTGTTTCTATTCATGTCTGTGTTCTGTTCATAGTATACAGTTTTAAGTCCTAATGTTTTAAGCAATTGCACTTCCCCCAGAATATTAACTTGGATCCTGTAAAACAGGAATATTATAAAAATAGATACATTAAAGTGAGATCAATGTATTATGGGCATTGTTTGAACTTTGACTATAAGGTATTAGAGTGGTACTATGTTCTACTCATGTGTTTCTCAATATAATTAATAATATTTTGTCAAATACTGAAAAAATATACAAAAAAGTTATGTCTTTTCTGTAGTTTAGATTATGAAAACAACAGAGATTCCTTCTCCGTAGAAAACTGTACCATAGTACTTACTATGACTCTTTAAACTACTCCTCCCACACTTTTCCTAATGAATCACATTACACTGTAGGTTCATGTATACATGGAGATCTCTAAGGATAAGACTTGGGAGGCTGAAGTTTTAACATGTATCCCAAGTTAACTCTGATGTACTCTGGAGTTGGAGAACCACTACTTACATGTACTGAATAAACAATAAGCAATAAGCCACTGATAATCAAAAGGGAATAAATAAAGATTCTCATTCACCTAATCAGTAACTCCCATTTATGCCCAGTAAATTCCCTAAACTGAGATTCTATCTTACTGTTAATATCTACAAACATATACATCGGTAAAACCTTACCACAGAAGGAGCAAGTCCTTTTGAATTCTGCTTCTTTTTGGGTTTTGAAGGGGTTTGTTTGTCTGAGGTATTGTGAGCTCCACTAATCTGATTCACTTGCCTGTAAAACCCATCTGAAAAACAGTCCAAGGAAAATTATGCAGACTTCAGAATTCTTACATGCTGAATGCAACTTTGTTCATAAAAACTCAATATTAAGTAATTTTTAACCAGACTGGTAAAACTAGAAACCAGCAGAGCCAGCTGCATATCTCCTGTGGTAAGATTACAATGTATAAAAAAAGTAAGCAAACAGATTTTTATAGCAGCTTTATTAGTAATTGCCAAAACAAGGAAGCAACTAAGATGTCCTTCAGCAGGTGAATGGATAAGCTATGGTACACCTAGACAACGGAATATTATTCAGTGCTAAAAAAAAATCATCTTAGCTGGGCTCAGTGGCTCAGCCTGTAATCCCGTGCCTTTGGGAGGCTGAGGTGAGTGGATTGCCTGAGCCCGCAGGTTTGAGACCCACCTGGGCAGCGAGACCTCATCTCTACAATAAATCAAAATATCAGCCAGGTGTGGTAGCGCATGCCTGTAATTCCGGCTACTTGGAATGTTGGGGCGAAAGGATCGCTGGAGCCCAGCAGGTCGAGGCTGCAGTGGCCGGGAGTGGCCACTGCACTCCAGTCTGGGCGACAGAGTGAGACGTCAACTCAAAAAAAAAAAAAAAAAATCTTGATAAAGCCATAAAAAGACATGGAGGAAACAAAGGAATACTATCAAGTGAAAGCCACCAATCTGAAAAGGTTACATATTGTATGATTCCAACTATAGGACATTCTAAATAAGGTCCAAATTATAGAGATAAAACTATAAAAAAGATCATTGGTTGCCATGGTTTAGTAAGGATGACTAAGTGGAGACAGAGGACTTTGGGGGCAGTGAAACTATTCTGTATGATCCTATAATGGTGGATACATGTCATCACACATTTGTTAATATCCATAGAATTTAAGAGTGAACCCTAGCGTAAACTATACATTTTGGATGATAATGATATGTCAATGTAAGTTCATTGATTGTAACAAACATACCACTCAGGTGCAGAATTTTCAGTGGGGAGGCTGTGCACGTGTGGGAGCAGGGGGCTATATGAGAACTCTGTACATTCTGCTCAATTTTGCTGTGAGCCTAAAACTGCTCAACAAAATAAAGCCTACTAAGAATTTTTTTAAACAGTTTTTTTCAAATAATGATCCTAACACAAGGAAAAGATGTTTGAGGTGATAAATATCCTAATTACCTTGATTCGACTGCTACATATTGTATACCTGCTCAAAATATCATGCGTACCCCCCCAAATATGCACAATTAGTTGTTATCAATTTCTTGAAATTCAGGTGTTTATTTTTTTCAATAAATAAATGAATAATTTCTTAAAAAATTATAGAGACAAGGTCTTGCTTGCTATGTTACCCAGGCTGGTCTTGAGCTCCTGGGCTCAAATAGTCCTCTTGCTTCAGCCTCTCAAAATGCTGGGGACAGGAGTGAGCCACCATGCCAGGCCAATAAGTTAATTAATTAAAAGTAAGCAAGATGATAATCATCATTTTCTGCTTAATGGAATCATAAGACAACATGAAATTATGTTTAATCTAATTATTTAAAACCAAAAAAAAATTTTTTTTTTTTTTGAGTTGGAGTCTCACTCTGTCTCCTAGACTGGAGTGCAGTGACCGCTCCCGGCCACCGCAGCCTCGACATGCTGGGCTCTGGCTATCCTTCCGCCTCAGCCTTCCGAGTAGCCGGAATTACAGGTAAGCGCTACCATGCCCGGCTGACTTTTTGATTTATTGTAGAGATGAGGTCTCGCTGCCCAGATGGGTCTCGAACCCGCGGGCTCAGGCAATCCACTCACCTCAGCCTCCCAAAGGCGCGGGATTACAGGCTGAGCCACCGAGCCCAGCTCCAAAAAAAATTTTAAATTAAAATATTTACCAGTGAGGCTATGTATTAATATTTTAAATTCCATCAATAATGAAGGTAAATTTCATCATAATTTAGAAGACTATGAGATAAATATATGAGTGCACTACTTGCAACAATCTCTAAAATCCTGAGAACTGGAATGGTGAGCAGCAATGGTGAGTTATGAACATGTGCCCCCTGGTGGTAATCGGAGGGAATTACTAACACTTTCACTCAAAATAACATCAATCAAAATTAAAATAGAACTAGACTACCTTTTTTGTTGCACCTGGTGTCCCACACCATAATGTTGCCATCTCGTCCACCTGTACAGAATACAGCTGTGGGGAAACAAATAGTTTATCAGAGGTGAACACGACCGGTCGACATATATTATTTCTTTTATTTATTTTTATTTTTGGAGAAAACAAGATTTACTGAGAGGACTGAAAAGCTCCCATAGTGGGAAGGGACCTGAGGGGGTTGCAACACATATATTTCAATGTAAATTTTGAAGGGTATCTACTATGCACTAAGTACTATTACAAGTTTAACAATATATGGCTTAATAACAGAGAAAACAACTGCAAAAAGAAAGGATTACAAAGAGCTTAGTCCAGTTTGCATTGCTATAAAGGAATATTTGAGACTGGGTAATTTATAAAGAAAAGAGATCTGGCTCATGGTCCTGCAGATTGTATAAAATGAATGGCACCAGCATTTGTTTCTGCTTCGGGTTAAGACCTCAGGAAGTTTTACTCATGGCAGAAGGTGAAGGGAGCAGGCATGTCATATAGTGAGAGAAGGGGCAAGAGAGAAGGGAGAAGGTACCAGGTCTCTTTAATAGCCAGCTCTCCCACGAGCTAACAGGGTGAGAACGCACTCATTACTGCAGGGAGGGCAGTAACCATTCATGAAGGATCTGTCTCCGTGGACCCAAATTCCTCCCACTAGGCCCAATCTCCAACATTGGGGATCATGTTTCAACATGAAATTTGGAGGGGACAAATATTCAAACTATATCAGAGCTCAGAATGCTAATTTTTAATTTTATTTTTATCTTTATTTTTTTTTGAGTCGGAGTCTCACTCTGTCGCCCAGACTGGCGTGCAGTGGCCGCTCCCGGCCACCGCAGCCTCGACCTGCTGGGCTCCAGCGATCCTTCTGCCTCAGCGTTCCAAGTGGCTGGAACTACAGGCGCGTGCTACCACACCCAGCTAATTTTTGATTTATTGTAGAGATGAGGTCTTGCCAAGTTGCCCAGGCGGGTCTCGAACCCGCGGGCTCAGGCAATTCACTCACCTCAGCCTCCCAAAGGCGCGGGATTACAGGCTGAGCCACCGAGCCTGGCTTAGAATGCTAATGTTGAACAAAAGTTCATAGGCTCATTCCCTTTTAAATGCTCTTAAAACCATATAAAATGTTCCACAAGAGTTCTAGTAATGATAAACAAGCAGTAGCCAAAATATATTGAGTATTTACTATCCTAAGTGTTAGATACTATTCCACATGCTTTATAAAAGTTCTCAATCCTTGTTATCAATCTATTAGGTAGGTATTATCCTCCCCCTAAGGCACAGGGAGGATAAGTAACTTGTAAAGACATATTCTTGGCAGTATCAATCCAAAGTGTATACTCCAAATTTCTAAGTTGTATTGTCTCAGTATAAAAACATGAACCAGATCCTAATGAAATTTGTTAAACAGGTTCCCTCTGGGGATGAGAGCAAAGAGATTGGAGAAAAAATATAGGAGAACTTCATCTTATCTGGAATGTTTTATTCTTTAAAACTAAGCCGAAAAACTTCTTGCTTCCTGTGTGAAAGAGTGAGCACTTAACTGACCTTCATTAGCTGCAAATGGGACAAAATACAAAGCGCACACACACACACACAACTACCTGAGGGCTCTGTGTAAACTGAACACAAACATGCAGTTTAAAAAAACTGATGTATATTTTATATATTTATGGGGTACATATGATATTTTGTTGCATGTTGCATATACAGAATGTGTAATGATCAAGTCCAGTTATCTGGGGTACCCATCATCTTGAGTATTAATCACTTTTATGTATTGGGAACATTTCAAGTTCTCTCTTCTACCTACTTTGAGACATACAATACTTTGTTGCTAACTATAGTCACTTTATTAAGCTATTAAACATTGGAATTTATAACTTCTAACTGTATACATCCATTACCCAACCTTTCTTCATCACACTTCTATTCTCAGCCTCTGGTATTTATCATTCTACACTTTACCTCCGTGAGATGAACTTTTTTAAGCTTCCACATATAAGTGAAAACATGTGAAATTTGTCTTTCTGTGTCTGGCTTATTTCACTTACTAACGACCTCCAGTTCTGTTCATGTTACTGCACATAACATAATTTCATTCTTTTTAATAGTCAGAGCGCATTCATTTGTGTATATATACTATATCTATCTGTCTATTGATTAGCACTTAGGTAGATTCCATACCTTTGCTATTGTGAACAGCGCTACAATAAACATGTGAGTGCAGATAGCCCTTTGATATACTGATTTCTTTTTCTTTAGATAAATGCCCAGTAGCTGGACTCCTGGATCTGTATGGTAGTTCTATTTTTAGCTTTTTGAGAAATCTCCATACTATCTCCCATAGACTGTACTAATTTACATTCCCACCAAGTGTTTAAGAGTTCCCTTTTCTCTGCACCCTTGCCAGCATGTTATATTTTCTTTTTAATAATAGCCATTCTAACTAGGGTAACATGATATCATACTGTGTTTTTGACTAGCATTTCCCTGATGATTAGTGATGTTGAACATTTTTTCATATACCTGTTGGCCATTAATATGTCGTCTTTTGTGAAATGTCTATTTAGGTGTAATGATCAAGGTCTTTGCTCACTTTTTAATTGAATTGCTTTTTTTCTACTGTTGAGCTGTTTCGGTTCTTTGATATTCCTTTGTCAGATGATTGATAGTCCTTTGTCAGATGAATAGTTTACAAATATTTTCTCCCATTCAAAAGGATGTCTCTTCGCTCTATTGTTTCCTTTGCTGTGCAAAAGGTTTTTCATTTAATATAGTCTTGTCTATTTTTATTTTAGCTGGCTTGCTTTTGAGGCCTTAGACATAAAATCCTTGCACAGACCAATGTTCTAAAGTGTTTTCCCTATTCGTTTTATAGTTTTGGGTCTTAAATTTACGTCTTTAATCTATCTTGAGTTAATTTTTGTATATAGTTAGAGATAGAGGCTCAGTTTCATTCTTTTGCATATAGACAGTCTATTTTCCCAGCACTATTTATTGAAGAGGATGTCCTTTCCCCAATGTATGTTCTTGATAATTTCCTTGAAAATCAGTAGGCAGCCGGGCTCGGTGGCTCAGCCTGTAATCCCGCGCCTTTGGGAGGCTGAGGTGAGTGAATTGCCTGAGCCCGCGGGTTCGAGACCCGCCTGGGCAGCGAGACCTCATCTCTACAATAAATCAAAAAATCAGCCGGGTGTGGTAGTGCATGCCTGTAATTCCGGCTACTCGGAAGGATGAGGCGGAAGGATCGCTGGAGCCCAGCAGGTCGAGGCTGCGGTGGCCGGGAGCAGCCATTGCACTCCAGTCTGGGTGACAGAGTGAGACTCCAACTCAAAAAAATAAAATTAAATTAAAAAATTAAAAAAAAAAAAGAAAAACAGCAGCCTGTAAATATGTTGATTTATTTCTGGATCTATATTCTGTTCCATTGGACTATGTGTCTTTTTTATATACTATGCTGTTTTGGTTATGATAGCCTTGCAATATATTTTGAAGTAAGTAGCGTGATACCTCTAGCTTTGTTCTTTTTGTTCATTATTGCTTTGGCTATCTGGGATCTCTTTTTGGTTCCATACAAATTTTAGGGTGGGTTTTTTTTTAATTTCTGTGAAAAATGACATTGGTATTTCCATAGGGATTACATTGAATCTGTAAATTGCATGGGGCAGTATGGGTCTTTTTAATGATATTAATCCTTCTGATCCATGAGCATGAGATGTCTTTCCATTTGTTTGTTGTGTTCCCTTCAATTTCTTTCATTGGTGTTTTATAGTTTTCCTTGTATTTTCACCACCTTGGTTAAATTTACTCATAGATTACCATTATCATTAATATTATTTCAGCTATTGCCAATGGGATTGCCTTCTTGATATAGAAACACTACTGATCATGTATCCTGCAACTTGCCAAATTTGTCAGACCTAAGAGTTTTTTTTAAAAAGATAGTCTTGCCCGCGGGTTCGAGATCCACCTGGGCAACTTGGCGAGATCTCATCTCTACAATAAATCAAAAAATTAGCCGGGCGTGGTAGCGCGCCTTAGTTCCAGCTACTTGGACGGCTGAGGCGGAAGGATTGCCGGAGCCCAGCAGGTCGAGGCTGCGGTGGCCAGGAGCGGCCACTGTACTCCAGTCTGGACAATGGAGTGAGACTTCAACTCAAAAAAAAAAAAAAGATGGTCTTTAGGATTTTTTTCTTTTGAGACAGGGTCTCACTGTCATCCAAGGTGGAATGCGGTGGCATTATTCTGGGCTCAATTTATCCTCTTGCCTCAGTCTCCCAAGTAGCTAGAACTACAGGCACACACCACCACCAGCTAATTCTTGTATTTTTTTGTAGAGACAGGGTCTCACTATGTTGCTCAGGCTGGTTTGAATTTCTGCCCTCAAGCAATCCTCTTGAGGGGATCATTATTATTAATATTATTATTTCAGCTATTGCAAACGGGATTGCCTTCCTGATATTGAAACAGCCTCCCAAAGTGCTAGGATTACAAGTGTGAGCCACTACACCCAGCAGGTTTTTCTAAATATAAAAACCATATCATCAGCAAAGAGTAATAATTTGACTTCTTTTCCTATTTGAATGCTTTTTATTTATTTCTCTTTGCTTAGGACTTCCAGTACTATGTTTAATGGGAGTGCTGAAAATGAGCACTCTTGTCTTATTCCAGTTCTTAGGGTAAGAACTTCCAGCTTTTTCCCATTCAGTATGATGTTAGCTATGGGTTTGTGATATATAGCCTTTATTATGTTAAGGTATGATTCTTTTATGCCCAGCTGGTTGAGAGTTTTTATCATAAAGGGATGTTGAATTTTATCAATTACTTTTTCCATTTCTATTAAGATGGTCATAGGGTTTCTGTCCTTCATTCAGTTGATGTAATGTATAACATTTATTGATTTGCACAGGTTGAACCATTCTTGTATACCTGATCCTTTGTTCATGTATATTATTTTTTGATGTGCTGTTGAATTAAGATTGCTGGTATTTTGTTGGGATTTTTGTATTGATGTTCATCAGGGATATTAGTCTATAGTTTTCTTTTTGTTGTGTCCTTGACTGGTTTTCATATTAGCGTAATGCTGGCCTTGTAGAATGAGTTAGGAAAAATTTCTGCTATGGGATATATGTGTCCAGAAATGTATCCATTTCCTCTAAGGTTTTCTAGTTTGTTAGTGCATAGCTGTACATAATAGTATCTGATGATCTTTTGTATTTCTGTGGTAAAGGTTGTAAGGTCTCTTTTTCCAATTCTGATGTTGTTTATTTGGGTTTTCTCCGTTTTTCTTGGTTAGTCTAAAAAGTGGTTTATTGATTTCATTTATCTTTTTAAAAAGCCATCTTTTTGTTTTATTGATCCTTTGTATTTTTTTAAGTCTCTATTTTGTTTAGTTCTGCTATGATACTTATTCTTTCCTTCCACTAATTTGGGGTTTGGTTTGTTCTTGCTATTCTAGTTCCTTGAGGTGCATGATTAGGCTATTTATTTGAAATCTTTTTATTTTTTAATTATTCTTCCCTCTTAGCATTGCTTCTGTGTATCCCATAGGCTTTGGTATGTTGTTTCAACTCATTTGTTTCAAGAAATTTTTTGATTTTCGCCTTAATTTCCAGCTTGACTCAATGATCATTCAGAAGCACACTACTTAATTTCCATGTATTTGCACACTTTCTAGTTCCTTTCTGTTGTCGATTTTTAGTTTTATTTTACTGTGGCTAGAGGAGACACTTGATATAATTTTGATTTTTAAAAATTTGTTGAGACTTGTTTGTGTCCTAACATATAGTCTATCCTGAAGAATGTTCTGTGTGCTGATGAGAACAATGTGTTTTCTGTAGTTGTTAGGTAAAATGTTCTGCAAATGTCTGTTAGAGTGATTTGGTCTTATGTGTAGTTTAAATCCGTGTTTGTTAAATTTCTGTCTAGATGATCCATCTAATGCTGACAGTGGGGTGTTTAAGCCCTCAACTATTATTGCATTAGAGTCTATCTCTCCCCTTAGATCTAATAATATTTCTTTGATATATATGGGTGCTCCAGTGTTGGGTGCATATATGTTTAGAATTGGGCCATTTAAATTAATCACATGGTAAATTTTTAGACAGAGAAGTATGTTCAGTTTATCAGGTTTCTTACCAGCCTTGTACCCCATTTAGATTTCATAAGTAGAGTTAAAGCAACTCTACTTTACAAGTAGAGGAAACAAGTGCCCAGTACAAAGTTTTAACTTCAATGAACAATCAAAGTTGAACAGAAATATTGTGACTATTTACAAATTTTGACCTTATCTGTAAGATTACAGAAAAAAATTTTCTGAGCTGGTATGGCGGCATCTGTAGTCCCAGCTACTTGGGAGGCTAAGGCAGGAGGATTGCTTGAGTCCAGAAGGTCAAGGCTGCAGTGAGCCTTGATCATGCCACTACACCCTAGCCTGGTCAACAGAGTGAGATCCTGGCTCAAAAATAAAAATAGAAAAAAATTCCCTGAAGACTGTTGACTTTCACGGATAAGTTGGAGATAATGTCCATAAGAATGGGTCTAAAACCAACTTAATTTCATTAAGCTTTTTGGTGATATTAAAATCTCAATAATCTATGTAGGTAAAGTGACAACTCTGAAATGGAAAGGGTAGAAACAATTACAGCTTCTTTTTACCCCCCAAAAAAGAAAGTTAAGGAGATGAAAGAGGATAAGCACAAACATACCTCTCTCAAATTTAGAAAAGGCAACTGACTTAAGGCTGCACTGATGACCTTTGCATGTTCCAATCAGCTCACCAGCTTTTACATCCCAAAATTTGGCTGTTTGATCACCTGCTGCTGTAACCTTTCAAAAACAAGGTAGCATCATTTAATAAAGCAAACTCTTACCAGTATTTACCCAGATCCCAATGAAGTAAAAGTCACTTACAAGTTTAAGTTCACCAGGGACCCACGCAAGGTCAAAGACAGCATTCCAGTGAGCCATCCATTCTAAACAAAGAAAATGGTAAATGTGAAATGTCTAGACGGTATTCTGTGGTAGCCATATCAATAGTAGTTTAAATGCCTTGAAAGTTGTGGTCAGCACCCTAAGGTCCATGGGACCAAGAAATTGTGAACTCATCAACAGTACACATTCTGTTTATTACCACGTATGAGAACTACCATCTGTTATCAGATTCTTCTTATAGCCTATGCTTTCCTATCTCTAGGCCTTTTCTTGGAGTACTTTCTTCCATTTTCATTAGACTAAATAACACAACTCAAATGCCCCATCCTTCATGAAAAGTTTTCCTGGCCTTATTTACTACATGAGAGCTTTCTCTTCGACAACTGTGATAGTTTCTTTTTTTTTGTACTTCTACATCACTTATAGTCTTTTTTTGTTTTATTTTAGTTACTTCAACATTTGACTTACTGGTTCCAAATTATTGGCTTTAGGTCAGCAGAGCTTTGCTTTATATATGGAAGATGCTTATTCATTATTATTATTATTTTAAAGCATTGCTTCCCCAACCACATTAAGTGTGAAAGATTTAACTTTTTTAAAGAACTGTTTTAAATTCTCAAAAGTATTTTTCCTAACTTTTGTAAAGGCATTGTCATAGCTAACAGTTATTGACAGACAGGCAGTCCATCACTTACATCTAACCTGGTCCCTAAAAGACTTAATCAGAAGGGAACATAATTGGGAATATGCTATAGCTTGGATGTTTGTTCTCTCCAAATCTCATGTTGAAATCTGGTCCCCAGAGTTGGAGGTAAAGCCTAATAGAAGGTGCTTGGGTCAAGGAGGTAGGTCTCTCATGAATAGATTAATGCCCTTCCTGGGAGGTGGGGTGCAGTGGGGGATGGGGAAGTGAATTCTCACTCTATCAGTTCCCTGGAGAGCTGGTTATTAAAGAGTCTGGCACCTCCCCACTCTCTTTCCCTGTGATCCCTTCACTGCTTTAAATGAAGGCAGCCTGAGGCCCTTGCCCAATGTCCAGTCAGCCAGTCAGCAGAACTGCAAGCCAAATAAACCTTTTTCTTTATAAATTACCCAGTCTCAGGTATTCCTTTATAGTAATACAAAATGGACTAGGACAGAATTTATTCAAATAATTTATTTGAAGATTTGTAAATTGTAAGTAATGTTAAAAACAAAAATTGCAGACCTAGACTTACCTTTGAAGCACTTCTTTCTGCAAGTTTGTGATTCTGTGTTATATAATCTAACGAAGCCTTCTTCATTGGCAACTGCTAGTATATGCTCCATATTGGGAGCTAAATAAGAAATGAAGAATAAAATATATGAAGAGTAACAAAAAATTTTAAGCTAACTCAAAACCACTAAAATTATCTTCAGATAATCTCTTATTTAGAAAAGGACTAAATCAAGAGTAGTATTTTAAACAAACAAACAAACAACATAACAAAAGAGCAGCACTGGCCAGTGGCAAACAAAGGCATATGATGATATAGGCCACCAGCAGGCTGAATTTAGTAGTTTTAAAATTCTTTTTACAATTTTTTACCTTTCCTTTCTTAGACTATTAAGAGTGGGTACAGGCTGGGCTCGGTGGCTCAGCCTGTAATCCCAGAGCTTTGGGAGGCCGAGGTGAGTGGACTGCCTGAGCCCGCAGGTTCGAGACCCGCCTGGGCAGCTTGGCGAGACCTCATCTCTACAATAAATCAAAAAAATTAGCTGGGCGTGGTAGTGCATGCCTGTACTTCCAGCTACTTAGAAGGCTGAGGAGGAAGGATCGCCGGAGCCCAGCAGGTCGAGCCTGCGGTGGCCGGGAGCGTGCCACTGCACTCCAGTCTGGGTGATGGAGTGAGACTCCAACTCAAAAAAAAAAAAAAAAAAGAGTGGGAACAAATACTTCTATTTCTGTTCATATAGTCCCCAAATGAGTCAAAGAAAGAGATATATTCAACCAAACAGTACCGGATCAGAAAAAAAGTGCTATAATAGCCATATCCGTTAGAGCAGCAGCCCCCAACATTTGGCATTAGGGACTGGTATGTGGAAGACAACAGAGATTAAGAAAAGTCTATTTCATAAATCAGAAGAGAACAGTTATTAGCAAAACTCTAACATCTATCTTACTTACTTTTCTTTAAAAGGTAGACACTTCAACATACTTTCCCTCTAATGAAATACATTTCTATCCAAGCTTAGTCTAGATAGTAATTCTCTTACCAGAGGAGAAGGTACATCCAAAAGGAGGAACTGGGACTCCTGTTTCTCCATAAGAAGTATGCTCATCATTAAGGTTGCACTGATAACCAGTTAGAAGGGACTGGAGAGGGTATTGTGAAGACCAACCTAAGACGAGATAATTCCTTATAGAATTCCAATATAGCATTACATTTTAGCATTTTTAACAAATTTGGAGGTAAATATTTGTTCTTAAAAAGCTTTAGCTATTTCATAAACTCACTATTTATGGTCCTCATAACAATTTTTAGTAATTCTCAAGGGGTCTTATGGAAGAAATGAAGGAGTACCCCTAATTTCTAGTAAGGTAAAACTTTGGGTTTACCATCTTAAATGGATACATTCACTAGTACATTAAGATTGAAGAAACACATGGTCTTTGCATATTAAGAAAGATCTTACCCCTTCTCCCAACCAAAGAGACAACCACAAAAACCATTACCATTAAAATTGCCTTTCCTTTCAATTAAAATTTTTTGTTTTGGGAGTCTTTAAATCAACAACATTACTATAAACTCTCAAGTTACTAACAACATTATACAAAATCCAGTGGTCAAAGAGTTAAAAGTAAATAATATATGTCAGTGAGCCTGCTAGATCCACTAACAATTACACTAAGTAAAAATACTAAGTTTACATCCTTTTTGCTTCAGAGTGCTGAAATTCTAGTATTCTAAAATGTTAATAGCAATAATCTTAGTATCTTAAAGTATATTATAGCAATTTTAAAGTGACGCTTTGTGTACCTACCCCTATAAGACATTCAGTTAGCCCTGGTTAGTAGTAGAAGGGTCAGGGAAGTCTTTAGAGATCTCAGAAGATGAGGACATTTTCACTGAACTTAGAATACAGAACATGAAATTCAAGGTGGTAGAAAAGTGTATTCTGTTAGAATCAGAGACCTGATATGCTCTATGGTCCTACATCTTCAGAGATTTGGGTTTTTTCCTGCTCTAAGGTTATATAAATGTACACTTGTGGTTTTGAGTTTTTAAAATATTGATTGCAATATACAAGTTCAAACGGGAATCTTGAGCAACTTGGTTGAAATGAAGATGATATCAGATAATCCCTTTGTTCAGAGTATCCATGCTGTATATGCTACACATCCTTTAGCTACTCAGTAGCTGTCTCATCCGCCATATTGTTGTAAGGTCAAAAGCAGCCTAAGGCTATGGCACAGTGCCTGCCTACTTCATTCACCTCATTTTATCTCATCACGTAGGCACTGTATCAAATTTACATAAATCACAAGTTGAGTTTTGGAATGTATCCCCTGAGAATAAAAAGGTACTACTGTACTCAACTTTCATATACAGTCATATGTGACATAATGGCATTTAGGTCGACAACAGGCTGTATATGCAAAGGTGATCTCATATCACTTAGTGACGTCTTGATGATCCTGACCCTGTGTAGGCCTAGGCTAATGTGTGTATTTGTTTTAGTTTTTAACAAAAAAGTTTAAAAGGTAAAAATAAATAAATAATTAAAAAACATAATAAAGCTTATAAAGATATAAAAAAGAAAATATTTTTGTACACCTGTACAATGTGTTTCTGCTTAACACTAAGTGCTACTACAAGAGTCAAAAAGTTAAAAAAATTAGGACTTCATAAAGTAAAAAAGTTACAGTAAGCTAAGTTTAATTTATTATTGAAGAAATAAAAATATTTAAAAAAAATTTAATGTAGCCTAAGTGTACAGTGTTTATAATGTCTATGGTAGTATACGGCAATATCCTAGGCCTTCATGTTCATTCATCCCCTCACTCACCGATTTACCCGGAGAGCAACCTGCAATTCTGCAAGCCCCATTGTACAGGTGTACTGTTTTTTATCCTCTATACTGTATTCTTACTGTAACTTTTTTGCTTAGATATACTTAGATACACAAATACTACTGTGTTACAACTGCCTACAGTATTCAGTACAGTAACACAGGTTTGTACCTAGGAGCAATAGGCTCTACCACATAGCCTAGGTATGTAGTAGGCGATACCATCTAGGCTTGTGTAGGTACATTCTATGTTGTTTGAACAATGACGAAATCACCTAACAATGCATTTCTCAGAATATATCCTCATCTTTTTTTATTTTTATTTTTTTTTTGAGTTGGAGTCTCACTCTGTCGCCCAGACTGGAGTGCAGTGGCCACTCCCGG